TTCTTCTTCTTCTTCTTCTTCTTCTTCTTCTTCTTCTTCTTCTTCTTTATCCTCCATTAATTGCTATATTTATTGATAAGTAGCAAGCGCCATTTCTAAAAAGCAAAAAATTTCTCTCACACCGTCTTTACCTTCTTTTTTTATCCTCTCTCAGTTCATCAACAGATAAAGCCATTATAAACCTTTTCTTCTTCTTTTTTCTCTTCTTCTTCTTTTTAAAACAACCAAGATAATTCAAAACTTAAAACAATTCCCCAAAATCCCAAAGTCATCAAACAGTCCAAACAGAACACAAAGTTCTTCACACTTTTTCTTCCTGGGGTAATATCAGTTGGCAAGGGGAAAAAAAACCCAATCTGTATTTTAAAGTCTCATTACAATTAACTTCCAATCTCAAAATCTTCCAGGCATCTCCTCCAGCAAAATCTTAATGAAAATTTTCTTTTTGTCCTCTCCCTTCCCACTTATAACAGAAAGCTTTAAATTTTTACCTTCTATAAAATAGCAGGATTTTCAATATCCATTTGTTAAATCCATGTGGAAGGAGAGTAAACTTTCTCTTAAAACACTTTCACTCGCCGCTTGTAAATCTCTTCTGGAAACAAAGTATCTTCCAAAAAATCCGAATTTTCAGGATATTACTTGTATTACTTGTATCTTATAGTCCAGTTCAGCCAAGAAACTTTCGCTTCAGCACTTTCTCTACCTCCAGCACGATCTTGTCCAGCTGTCAGCTTCTTTGTGGCGGCCATTACAGACCGCCGCTCCACCACCTTGAGAAAGAGGGTTAAGCCAGGTGGGGAAGGGGTCTGCGAAGACCCCAACCCCCTGTCCGGATCCCTCCTATTTTGGGCTGCCTCTTCATGGCAGCCCTAGCCTCCAGATCAATAGATCGGAGGCATCAAAGTGGCTAGCGCGGCAGGGATCGCGCAGGATCGCAAATCCCTGCCGCTCGCGAAGCCGACAAACCGGAAGTTCCGTCATATTAAATATTTTGACGTGGTGGAGACATCCAAGGCCTCTGAGGGCCCTGCCCTTAGGAAGCAGCCTGGGCTACTTTAGCACTGATAGTCAGCTCTTGGATTCGCGGGCTTCTCCAGCATCATCTGTCCTTCCACAAGAGTCCATACCTCCATACCTGAGAAGAGGGAATGGCCCTCCTCCAGAACCAGCTGGACCTTTCCCCCTCCAAAGTAACCTGCTGAATTACTGGCTGGGTTTGTCCAATGATCTAGGCTCAAATGAGGTGTGATGGTTTCTGGTTCCTCAGCTGTTCTCTTGGCATGTTGAAAGAATGAGAACTAGTAGGAAGGCTTTCTAGTTGATTCTGCTGCTTTTGAGCTGGAGAAAGAGAAAGAGACCATGCATTAAAAGGCAAGCCTTCCTACCTTTACTCCAGGTCCTTATCTCGGGGACAGAGAAGACACAAAGCTGCTGGGATTTTTCCTCAAAGAAAGAATCAAGAAAAGGAAGCAGTTTACTTTTTCATAGTGCAAATTGGCCTCTAGAGCAGAGAAGGATCATTATTTTCCTCTGCTTTTCTTTTGCTTAATGTTTTTCTGAACCTCTTAAGGGTCACAGAATCACTGTAGGGTGGCCGGCAAAGTGGATAGCCCCACAACACTGGGCTGCTTAAAAACAGTTTATGAGTTTGCTTATTTCTTTACAAACTCTGAAATCTGGGTGTTTTAACTCCCACTTCAATGCTCAAATACAGTTTGAGTATTTAAGAAGGTAAAATAAAAAAGCAGCCCATTTGCTGAAAATGACTGGTTTTGATGGCCGATCCTGAAGGACATCTGGGTTCTGCAAAAATTGGTCTGGGGGCTGCCTGTGGATTGCAGGTTGCCCACTTCTGTCCTAACTGGTTTGAGCCTGCGCTGTTTATTAAATTGTGTTGAGACCACTGTGTGTAATTTGAAAAGAGGAGGGGAGGAAAATTTTTAAAGAAGCCATCACGTCTAGCATGTGCATTTCCACCTATTGTAGTATTATTTTTAATCAGCCCTTTTTGTCCTCCATTTAGGGTAAAATGTCTTCAAATTTCCGTGCTAGCTATACTGAAACCCTAGGGAAACTGGAGACGCAGTACTGCAAACTGATGGTGAGTATCTTTGTGTTGTGGTTAGCTGGCAGCAGGTGTGGATGGCTGAGGAGAGCGAGGACTCAGATGAGGGGCCAGGACCATTAGGGAATGGACTGCTGCCTTCAGAGTTTGTGGGGGCTGGCAGCAGCGATGAGGAGGTTCCCGAGGAGCCTGTGCCAAGTGTGCGTGTGTGCAGGGCTGCTCGCAGGAAAGAGCAGCTGCAACAGCATGGGCAACTCGGGAGTAAGGCTGCAAAGTAATGGCCTCTCCTTCAAGAAGATAAAAGGCAGCTGTGCAGCGAAAATTCTTTGTAGGAAGCAAAGACATTTTGAAACTCAGCCTTGTGGACATTCCAGTTGGTATTTGAAGACTCTTGTGTTGGAAACTATTTCTTATCTGTTGTTCTTGGCAGCCTTGCAAAAACTTGGCAAGGCTCTTTCTTGTCGGAGCTAATTAGTTGGAAGCAGCCTTTTATCTGTGAAGAAACAGGATTCATAGATGAAACCTTAAAAGGTTGTGCTGCTGCCTTTGTCTTGTGTTTGCTCTCTTGGAACCAGGTTTGGATCAGAACACTTTGGCAGATTTCTTTCCAGGTCCAAAAGGATCTCTGAAAATGTTTTGCAAGTTCCTAAACTTTTTGCAGCCCTAACAGAAGTGCCAGTGCCGATAGAGGAGAATCTCTGTAGCTCAAAGTAGAGTTGTGGGGTCCTTGGTGCTCTCCAAGCGTGGTTGTTTTCTTTCAGACATTCCATTATACAAATGGGCAACATGCAACATGAAACAACTAGGTAATGTGAAGGCCAGCTATGTGACTTTGAGGCAATCGCCTGGAGACAATGAGTTCTAGTCCCACCTTAGGCATGAAAGCTGATTGGCTGCCTTTGAACCAATCACTCTCTCTCAATCCAACCCACTTCACAAAGTTGTTGTTGGGGATAAGAGTTCAAGGAAGGAGTATTAGGTATGTTTGCTGCTTTGAGTAATTATAAAGTAATAAAGGTGGGATAAAAATCAAATAAATACAAAAAACATGATATAAATAAATAAACAATAGACCAAGTCAAATCCAACACCACTAGAGACTTTCTGGAAGCCTGGTGCTCTGCCAAATTGGCCATCAGTAGACACTTAGACATAAACAATATCTACATACTGTGCAAAAAAGACAATCAACAAGCCAAAAAGGGAACAAAAGACCCAGACACCTCCCCATCAGCAATCAACACCCAGATGATCATAAATTTACTCCAGGATGAACATCAGACCAAGAAATAAGCAATATCCCAGTCAAGGAACTTCCAAACAGGCTAAGAGTAATCAGCCCAATCAAAGAATCTCCAAACCCACCCACCCTACCAATACTGACAGGGCAAGCCACTAAAATATAAAGGGAGAGCAAACCCCACTCTTTACTAGCACTGATGATGTTACCTAGTTGGGTAATGAAACACCTGGGAGAAAACCACCAAGCTCAGAGAGCACCAAGGACCACTCCTCTCTACCCTGAGCTGCAAATATTCTCCTTTATCGATAAACATCTTCAAGTGCTAGCACTCCTTCTAGTGCTTCTTATTGCACTAAAAATGTTACCTGGTCAGGTAATGAACCATCTGCAGGAAAACAGCCAAGCTCAGAGAGCACCAAGAATGCCACAGAAATGCCAGTTTCTTCTTCCTTCAAAGGGTCTTTCTGTGGGTGTGCCATTTGTCTTGCCACAAGAACAGATTCCTTCAACCACCTCAGGCCGCCTTGGGAGACGGGGTAGGGATGATTTGAATCGATAAAAAATTGCCCCTGGTTGCTATTACTATTATACCAAGTATACCAAGCCACACCCACAGCCACGCCCACAGAGCCAGCAGGGAACATTTTTGAATTTCACTCCTGAGCTCACTTGCTGCTTTGCTCAGGTTCTCATTTTGATGCATTTCACCATCAAGTTGGGCAAAGAAATTCCACACAAAAACCAGGTGTAGTTTTGCAAGCATTAGTATTTACTTTCCCCCAAATGTGGCATTTCTGAACACCCTTCTACTTATACATGTTTGTGTGCGTATTTTTTCACATCATGCAGCAAACCACACTGCACATTTCTGCAATTTTCAAAAATTTTGCAGCGGTTGAAGAAGTTGGTGCCTTTTTGTTTTCTTGGTTTATAGAGGATAGTGAGCAAATTGAACACCTTGTTGGATCTTACTAATTTTCTGTGCCTAAAAACTGCTTGGCAGGGTTTATAAACCAGTTTTTTAAGAATTATTTTCTGTGCTCACAAATAAGACGTCTAAGAGCAGAAATCACTTGAATATTATGAAATGGGACAAAATGTGTCATCTTTATGCAGGAGACATCCAGTTTCCGACTACGCCACCTCCAAAGTTTGTATGAGTTTGTATCACAAGCGACAACTGAATTAATTTGGCTAAATGAAAAGGAGGAGGAAGAGCTTGCGTATGACTGGAGTGAAAACAACCCTAACCTGACAACGAAGAAGAATTACTTCTCAGTGAGTAGAAAGACCTTGTAGTAACCAAAGGGGATTGCATGGCCTCTATTGGGTCTTCTGGAGGTCAAGAGAGGAGATCAGTGGGAGTGGCTTTGTAATCACAATTTCATATTTTTCAGTGTAGATATTGTAAGAAGAGAGTATGTTGGTCTGTGACAGCCAAAAGAGTCTAATAGTCTAGTTTTATTATCAGTCAAAGGCTTTGATGAGTAGCATGAGACTGACTGTAAAATTTCTTAAACAGGCTACCAGACTCTTCCTGACATTTCTCAGTGAAGCTAGTACTTAGAAGAAGTTATATGTCTGTGGAAATTCTCAGTCCTCCAGGTCACGGATGTCCCAAAGGTGCTTTTTTTCAAGAGGCAACTGGACTTTCTGTTTTTTCTTTGAAGATGTTTTGCTTCTCATCCAAGAAGCTTCTTCAGCTCTGACTGGATGGTGGGGAATGGAAAGATTTATACTCCTTGCAGATGGCTGGTCATTTGCATTCTTTTAGGAAGTCGTTAAGGCCACTTGGAGGTTTATCTGTGTCATCAGAGTCACCTGAGTAGTGCAAATGGGTGTGGAGCTTTTTCGGAACTGTTGAAAGGACTGTGTTGTAGACTGGAGATGATGTCATATCCCTCTGCCTCTGTTGAGAGAAGGCTGTTCAGTTTTGACATAGATGGCTTCTTTGACCCCTCTTTCAAACCAGCAGTCCTCTCTGTCTAAAATGTGGACTTTGTTGTCTTCAAAAGGGTGGGATTTGTCCGCTGAATCTAGTCCTGCTGGGTTTGTTCTCCTACATTGTGCCATGCATTTATGAAGTGGTTGTTTCATTTCCCCAGGGTACAGATCTGCACATGCCTCACTGCACTGCAGTGCACTGCATAGAAAAAGTTATATTTCAGTGTTGCCTTCCAAAAATTCCTTAGATTTTGACCTCCAGATGATGCTTCCTAATTGGCGGTTTCAGAGTTTATACGGGCTGAAACCTTTTGGGTGAAATCAATACTAAATTATTTGTCTACCCATTTTTTTCACTATTTTAGTTGACCCTAAACTCTGATAATCGCACCTAACTGCAGAAACCTATTGCCACAGCATTTCCAAGGCAGAACCATCTTGCTTCTCTTCAATCCCTCCAAAGAATGTAGAATCACTTGAGACGGCTGTTCCAGAGTTCCAGCACAACTCTTACCACTAGGGCACTTTCCTTGATTTAAACCCCTTGGAAATGTGTTGAACAGCACCAGGCGTGGAAGGGATCCCTCCCCTTCCTCCACCCGGGGCCTTTGGGGCATCCATGGCTGACACCGTTTGCTTACCAACTTGTAGCCTAGTCCAGACTCCCTCCTGCCACCTCCTTTGCTCGAGCCTCATGGAAGACGTGGTTGGATGGAAGGTGTTCTAGGCCCTCAACATTTCCATAATCGGCTAAACTGATCACTCCCTGATGATAATCAGTGATGATATCACTGAAAATCACTAACCCAATGCTATTTTTTGTTTTATTTTAGTATTCTGGCCATCACATCTATGAATGATTCTAATGGTTTTCAGCCTCCATATTTCTTTTTTAAATGAGGAAAACAAGAGTGTCCACCAAGTTTTTTTAAATGTTCAAGATATTGTTTGACTTTTCTTCAAAAAGGACATGAAAAAGTTACCTTATTACTGAATGTTGATGTAGATGTTGAAAATTGTCCTTGCCTGCCTCACCCTTAACCTTATAACTGGCCCCTTTCTGGAATGCTGCCTCAGCACACGCCAGAAACACAAGTATGACCCTCAGCATTAAAACCCAGACCCTCGGGCCTTGGCCATCTTTCTAAATGTCTTCCCGTGCCCGGCTGGTCTTTGGCCAAGAGGCGCCCTCCACCTGCTTCGGCCATAGACTCACCGAATCCCTTGATGTGTCCCCCACCCAGGAGCTGACAGAGGAGCTGGAGGAGAAGCAGGACGTCTTCCGTGCCCTGCAAGATTCTGCCGAACTGCTCTCATTGGAGAATCACCCTGCCAAGCAAACGGTGGAGGTAGGGCATGGCTGGGAGGCGCTCTGATTGGCTCTTGCTTGGGAAGGTTCGGGGGGGGGGGGGCTTAGGCAAGGCCAGGACTTAGGATGGCTGGTGGGTGTGAGGATCCTCTTTGGGGAGCCTTTGCCACCTTTCATTCCCGCGAGGACTCATGTTTGACCCCTGGATGAGTTGACATGGTGCCTACGTAATAAAGCAATATATTGGAGGCCCTGTGCATCATGTAACATACTAACAGTTTAAACACAAATACAAAGCAATTGTCTTGTGTTCTGGAACAGCTTCCTTTCTGGAACTGGGCATATAGTTGTGGGACGTCTTTCTTTGAAACAACGGTTTCTTTGGGTTTTCCCAGCTTCTGCTGGGCTGGGCGTTGTTGTCCCTTCAGCACAGCTGTGGTTGTCTCTTCCAGGCCTACAGTGCTGCAGTTCAGACGCAGTGGCATTGGATCAAGCAGCTATGCTTGTGTGTGGATCAGCACTTGAGGGAGAACACCGCCTACTTCCAGGTAGGGCAGCCCAGGGAGGGCTGGGTATCCCCAGTCAATCCACAAATTCACAATGCAAGGATCCTTCGCCATGGATGTGCGCACGCTTTGTGGGGTTGGGCAAATGAAAGGCTTCTTTATACCCTTCTAGTTCTTCGGTGATGCTCGGGAGTCTGAGATGTTCTTGAAGAACCTCCAGGACAACATCAAAAGGAAGTATTCTTGTGACCGCAATACCAGCCTGACCCGCCTGGAGGACCTGCTCCAGGATTCCATGGTGGGTGCTTTTGGGGCAAGTCAGATGGTATCCTGTAGACACCCAGAGACCTTCCGAACTTCTGCAGTTCCCCAGGCTTTGCTAACTGTGCTCCTTGCGTGAATTCTGCTGATAGTCTTCTCTGACAGCTGCCTTCTTTGATGCTCTGGAAACCGATGAATTTGGTTAGAGTGGATCCTAGCACTGCTTTAGAAGCAAACAAGGAATGTGTATGCATGTTAAAGTACTTTCTTTCCTCCTTGGTCATTCCCAGACCCGCTTTTCTGAAGCCCCCCTGTGTTTGGTTGGCATCCCCCTCACATGTATCTGTGAAGTGGTCTCCAGCATGTTACGTATTTCCAGTGCGCTGAAGTGGGTGGCTGCTGTTGGGGAGCACAGGGTGACATGAAATCCTGAGTCGGGCCATTGATCCGTCTGGCCAAAGCTCGTCTCCCTTCGGGTTCTTCCGGTGGTGTTGCTAATGGGCTGGTGCTGCACAGTGTGGGCCTGTCCCTAAGCTGGCTGCTGCCCCCTCCTAACCGGCTGTCTGGCAGGCGCCCATTGTCCCCCGAGGTCTGGTCTCTGAGCAGCTCCGGGCCTCCGGGCTCTGAACCAGAAGCGTCCTCTAGCGGTATCGTCTGGATGGCTTGGACTGCAACCCCAGGGACTCCCAGCCGTAGTCCATAGAAATCAGGACAGAGAGGGGCAGGAAAGTAAGTGCCTGACAAGAATGAGCTTCTTGAACCGGCCATGAGGACTGGGAGGGTGCTGGGGAGGCTGGTGTTGGCTAGGAAAAAGAGGCTTGCACGGTGGCTGAGGGAGGCCGCTTGGAAAGCAGGACAGGCAAGCAGGGAGGTCAGCGTGAAAGGCGGGAGGGACAGAGAAGCCTTTCTAGGTGCAACCAGGAGAAGGAGGCCCACTGGAAGCCTCCCCCCGAGGGGGAGCTTTGTGCGTGCGGCCAGCCAGCCTCCATCCGGGTTGGCTTGCACTGAGGCTCTTGGCCTGGCCAACGCTCTGGATGAGACCAGGGGGGCGGGGGGGGGGGGGGGGAAGAGAGGGCGCTTTGGGGCAGTCAGGCTCCAGCTGTTTGGAGGGGAAAGTTGAAGGACCCCGAGAAGAGAAACTGTGCAGGGAAATGGAGGGGCTGCTGCAAAACAAGCCAACAAAGCGTGTTGCTGTTTCAAGGGCTACAAGGAAGGCGCCTGCTTGGGGCCAAAGCAGATGCCTAATGATCATAATGAATGAGTTACAGTTGTATTTCTTCCAACCATGCTCCCCTGGGACAGGCACAGGTAGCTCATTTTTAAGCTCTGTCTATCTATCTATCTATCTATCTATCTATCTATCTATCTATCTATCT